AGACTCCTCATTCTGTTTTCCATCTCTTTGTTGCAGTCTGGGTGATTTTTTTCAGATCTATCTTCCAATGAACTGGTTTTCTCTTTGTTTGTATCAAACCCCATCCATTTGGATTATAGTTTTTATTTCCTGGTGTTGTATATGATTATTTCCAGAATCTGCTTTTGATAGTTACTTTTCCTTGATGATATCTTAAAATACTCATTTGTTTCATTAAACATATGAAATATACTTATTTTGTGTTTGGTAGTTGATAATCTGATTCTGATATTGTGACTAATGCTGAGTAATAGGGACCAGTTTCCTTGGGTATTTTTTTTGATTTTGTGTTTGTTGGCATTTTAGGGAACCATTATTTCTGCTAGACAGCTGAGCATGTCCAGTTCTGGACTAGTTTAAAATGAATTCTCTTGACATTTTTGAGTCAAAAAGATTATAGCTAGTCTCCAAACCTGCATGAGGGGCAAGTCATGATCACTTCTCTTTACTTAATTTTTTGATAAATGGCCTGTAGCACATTTTTCTGAGCAATATTAGGGAGCTTTGTATTGCTTAGCTAAATAATTTTGGGAAACAGCAGGTTGAATGACGGGAAGTAGATTTTTTTTCTCCATAGAACTTCTCAGGTGTCTTATATACAGTAGGCGTTTTGAGACTCAGTAATTATGTACAGTACGCAAGGTTTTCCTTGTCCCATTCTGCTTCCCTTTGGGGTGATGTAGACTTCCTCTGTGTGTGTGTGTGTGTGTACATATATATGTATATGTATATATGGATTATATGTATAGAGCATGCTAAGGGACCATTGGGACCAATGAAATATATTTGGGCAAATTCAGGTCTGCCCCGTGGATACCCTTGACTTGTGCTTTTCAGTCTTTCACTTCACCTTTCCACTGTCTTTCCCTGTGTTTGTACCACTCTGCTGTAGGACTTTGTGTATGTGTGCATACATAGGTATGTGTGTATATATATCTACATTTAAACTTCCTGAGGGAAGATCAGATTGTATCTGGTAGTCTTTATCCTTAGTGTAAGACATTATCTTGTATAGAGCTCTTGTGTCATTTTTCTTTGAACCAGTTAAAGCAGATAGACTGATTGTCTAATAGAGATAGATGCATACATTTGTTTTTCTTTGTTTTTCTTTTTTTGCTTCCGTATTTTCTATTTCTGCCATTTGAATGTAAAGTTCCTGAGACTACCATGTGTGTCTTATTTATTGTCTTAACATAAGAATTGACGTGTATTGGATGCTGGATCACCCTGTGTTAAACCTTATAGCTTTGTAGACCTCAGAGTCATCTAGAGTATAAATAGCGGTCATAATGCATTGCTTGTCCATATGGATGTGTTACTTTTTTCATCTTATACTATCCAGTATCTTTTGACTAGAAATCATCTCTGTCAGACTCTATAAATATCAAAGTGAAAAGTAAATTCTTTTGAATATGCTGCTTTGTCTGTCTTTATTTTCTCCTTTAAGATACATATGGACACAGTCTTGGGAAAGCTATGATTTTTCTCACTTACTCATTCCATTCTTAAGGTTCCTGTACCACTTTGTATTTGCATCTCTCAGAATGTGCCTGTCCGCATTGTTGCATTTTTGGCTTTCCAGCCAGATGTTGTGTTCAATGAGGTTGGAGATGATTAAGTGGAAGTTTGTAACATGTATGTACAGGGAGGCTCTTATCAAGTATTTATCATCTCTGTTTCCTGGAGAAGAAAGGAAATAATAGTAGAGAAGCAATCCAAGCATCTAGAAAATACTTTGGTATTAGATGTGGACTAGTGAGGGAACAGCTGGGAACAGAACTCAGCTGTGATCGAGACACTGGTTTGGCACTTTGACGTTTACTGTCTTACCAGGTTAAGTTGATCTTCAGAGTGAGCGCTGAGACAGCTATGATACTAAGTGGTTTGACCCTTGTTACTCTTGCCTAGTAATATAAGGTGCTTACAAAGCGTGGAATGAGGGAGGGGCTGTGTCTTACTCTAGCCCCCAAGTTGGTGCTTTGCTGTGCTGCCTGACATTCAATACCAGGTCGTGGTGGTGAGCCTTGTGGGTGTTTTTCTCTTAATCTAGGGGAAGTCTGTCTGTGAGAACATGTTTCTATTTTTGAGATGGAAACCAGCAAGAAAGTATAATTTATTAATAAAAAGTGACTTTAAGCCAAGGTTGAAATGTGTTTTCTCTTTGAACTGAAGTGTGTATTTTAAATAGGAGTTGTTTTTAATATCCTTTTTTAGCTTAATTTCAAATAACATTAAAATCAAATAAAATAGTACCATTCTCCTTTTGACTGTCACATGTTATTTCATGATTCCTAGTTTCAGTAGTTTTTTTGGAAAATAGTTGTCATTTATAAGCCAATGTTTCATAGCAGTGGTAAATGAGATTTGTAATTATATCTGATTAAAGCTCAGCTTCTTATGTAAGCTTCCATTGAGTTCTTGGTGTCGTTCTGAATAAAAAGATAATCTTTCCTTTATGGTAGATAAAGTGTGTTACTCATGTATACCTCATAAATGCATTTTGGGTGATGTCCAAGCAGATAGATGTGGTAGGAGCTATAATTGCTCTCTTTGTTATCTCAGATAAGGAATGCCCCTAATTACAAAGTAGGTGCTGAAGTTGTAACTATATGGTTAGTCACTATGAGTCTGAGTGTGTTAAATGTCATGTCAAATATACAGAAATACTGTTTTTTCAGTTATTTGACAAATACTTCTTGAATACTTATTTTACTGGTCATTTCCCTATTCACTGAAAATTCAGGGGTGAACAAAGCTCTTGATTCTATATTATGCTGTTGATTATCTTTAAAATGTTCTTTGCTATTAGTTGCAACCAAATCTCTTTACATCTACTCTGTAAAGAAGAGACAGTGGATTTCACTGCATATTTAAGAAAGTAACCATCATGATTTGATTCATCTGTTCCTAAAATTTATTTATTTATTTTTTTTTTTAATTTTTTTTTTTTAAATACAATTGATTTTTTTTTTTTTTAGATTTATTTATTTATTTATATAAGCACTGGGTACAGTCAGAAGTGCGGGAGGGTGAGAGAATTCACCAGAGCCAGAGCGGGGAGCAGAGCAGGCAGAAGGACCGAAGTACACTGCTGAGGGGAGCAGCGGGCGGCAGGAGAGGTCTGCGCGCCATGTGGGACCCTCACCCAGCGGCCGGGGATCGAACCGGCACTGCAGAGGCTGCGGGCAGCTTCGCAACCCAACACTCAATCACTGCGCCACCAGGGAGGCCCTGTTCCTAAAATTTATTTAACATACTTGTACACTTAAATTTTAAATTATATAGAGTATTAATTGTATGAGGAGCAGATAGTAAAATTCAAAGCCTTTAGTTTTAAAAGCTTTAAGTGAAAATTTCATGTATAAGTGAAATTACTCATTTGTCATTATAAAATTCTCCACTTTATAACAATAAGAACCAGTATTAAGCACTTTACTATATGCCATACATCATTCTAAGTGCTCCTTATGTATTAAAACTTACTTAGTACTTGCCACACTCTTTGTGGTAGTTCTGACTTTACAGATGTGCAAATTAAGGCAAGTAAAAGTTGTGTCTTGTCCCTGTCACAGAACTTGTCAATATTGAAAATATATTTAGGACTTTGGTATTTGGAATCCAGAGTCCTAGATAGTGTTTCTTTAAATTTGTGCACATGCAGGTATATCTCAGTCTCCAGGTACTTACTAATTTAATTAGATATTAATCCTAATTTTGAATCTGTGACATGACATGCTGTTTGTATTAAAGTATGTAATCTGTGTGGTTTTCTCCCTCTTCACCTATGATTTGATAGCATTCTTTTTTTTTTAAAGAAATATTACTAAAAAGATTTAATAGGAGACCAATTTTTGAGGCATAAGTTTTTTACTTCTTTGCCACAAAGAAAGGAAGAAAAGGCTAGAGGGCAGAAGTGAGCACTTGAATTAAGTTTCTGTGAAGACTATCTTTTGAAGCTCTCTGATCGGAGTTGTAGTTACTTGAAATTGAAATCTTAATTTATTCCATTTTCAAAGTTATATGTGTGGGGAACATTTATTGTCACCCTGAATAAACGAATGAGTCCTCTGCTAGTGTGAGGAAGTGCGTGTTGAGGATGAAACAGTCCCGCGGCCTGTTCACATTTCACTTACAGCCCAGTGGTCACTTCCAAGGGCATTGGAGGAGGCGTGTGTCTGACCTGACCTCACAGTGGGGCGTTCCCAGGGGTGTGCATCTTAATTGGACATGAGTCACTGCTCTGTTTTGCCATTGATTAGACAATGAGCTTTTCTTCTATGGTTGTCAAAGGCTTTCACATCTCTATTGATAGCTGCTTATTAAATTAAAGAAGAAAACACAACAAACTATGGCAAAAGCATGTCAAATCCTTAGAGACATGTGATGTAATGTCCCATTACCTCTCAGTCTTTTTTAATTTCTCCTAAAACATGAATGCCATATCATTATCTAGAAAATGTGAAGTTGAGTTGAAAAAAACAATTTCTGTTCTGCAGACGTCACAGGATGAAAATCAGACTTTCAGTCCTGATGGGATCCAATGAGTTAGCATACATTGAGTAGAGTTAAATGACTTTCTTGGGAGTATGCTTTGTAGATAAGATGTGAAACACCCTGAGGAATTGAAGGAGGCAGTTTGGATCTATTTTTTGTGCTGTTTTTAAAATAAACAAATACCTAGCATTTTACTTTTTCATTCTTATATTGACATGGAGGAATGGTAGCATGTTGAGCACCATCTCTGATCATGCTTTCATTTTAGAATGAAATACAGCTGTGTGTGGGAAGCGGGAATCTGAAGTGAAAAGTTGTTAATCACTTTTTGAATTGTTTGAACAGGATTGGCAAACATTTTATATTAACTTATGCTAAATAGTGTATATGATATGATTCCCTTTTTTTATAGTAATCATGGAATCTTTAGTGCTTGAAAAGTGAACATACTGTTTCTTTTCCCGCAGAAACGTGCTAAAGGGCAAGTGTTATTTGACAAAGTGTGTGAACATCTCAATCTCCTGGAGAAGGACTACTTTGGACTTTTGTTTCAGGAAAACCCTGAGCAGAAAGTAAGTGATTTCAAGTTTTTATCCTCTTAGAAAATACTGTTTGCTCTTTTTAGCCAGTGTAAAATTTAGCTTTACAGTAGCTTATTGTACGTTTTTACTATGACATCTTTTGTTTGTTGGTAAAGACTGAAAACTTCATTGTGTATAGAGTGAACCACCTGTAACTCTTTGCCAGTGTTTTATGTGTACCTGCCTTTCCGCTTACATCAAGAGCAGTTAGAATGGAATGTCTTATCCTGTGTTCATTATAAGAGACAAAATGCTTAAAAATCTTTTATGTAGTATTTTTCCTCTTGAAGTTACCTGCATGCTCTGAGTTAACCATGCCTGAAAGGCAGGGCTGGGGGCACACTGGGAGGAATGTCAGGAGTCCTGACGTTGTCGGTAAGTTCCAGAGAGAGCAGTTGTCTTGCTGAGTAGACTGTGGCGACTGTGTGGGTGAATATATTCTGTACCCTATTGTACAGCCTTCTGGGGGCCAAATAGGGCCAAGGGTGGCCCCGGCTCAGTTCGGGTGGTAGATTTAAGCGGCCAGAACCTGTGACTCTCTGTCTGACTTCAGCAGTATGTTGAGATTGTTTCTGCACCAGGAGTTTCCCAGGTCATTGAGCTTGGGGGTGCTCTAGTGTTTAATGCTAACTCCAGGGAACTTCAGAAGCATCTCAGTTTCATTCATATATTAAAGAGAGAAATACTAACGAGTTTTAGCAAAACCAGGGTTAACCTGTAGCCTTCTGTCTTTGGGGCTGCTCTAACAATGTACCATAGACTGAGTGACTTACAAACAACAGTTTTATTTCTCACAATTCTGGACACTGAACAACATTTAGGTGCGAGCAGCTTTATTGATGACTTGCTTCTTGGTTGATAGAATAACTGTCTTGTTTTGTCCTTCCATGGTGTCTGTTCATGGTGGGAGGAGTGAAGGAGCTTTCTGGTTACTTTTTTATGAGTGCCTAAATCCCATTCACAAGGGTGCCACTTCCCGACCCAAAGGCCCCACTTCAAAATACTGTCTCAGTGGGATTAGGTTTTAACATGTGAATTTGGGGAAGATACCTTCCCTTTTTACTCCTGCTTCACTTTCTGATTCTTTGGACTAGCTTTGGTGGAAAGATAACTAGTTACAAGAATGAAGGGTAAAGGCGTGTTCCAGGATTTTGTACCCCAAAGTGAAACTGTTTAGTCTGAAGATTATGTCTGTGGACAGACTCATTGTAACTGAGGATGCCCAGAGTACTCAGCCACAGAAAAAGGAGTTACTTTCTAATATCTAACATTCACATCTTAGTCTATAGAATAGAACATTCAGTAGATACATATAGATTATAAATTATGTTATTTGCCCACATGCCATCTTTGTTTGTATTTATATGCAATGGTAATGAAATACAGGGTGCTTAGAGTGATAATTATATATAAATTAAATTCTCCCAACTTGCTTAGTTTTAAATCCTTGATAACGTAATTTGTGGTTTAGTTCCACATTTAGACTAAAGACAATTAAATTGCATGCCTGCCTGCTGAATAGCATATGAGTATTCTTGTTGGAACTCTGCTAAGAGTACTTTCTTAGAAGAAATAACATATTACAAATTCAGAAAAATAGATGAGGGGCTCTTTTTAGGTTTTAAATTATAAGGTGGTCTTACTGTTTCCAACCCATTTGTCTTCTGTTAGCTCTCAAAACTGCAAATGAGAAAGTGTTGGGGATTTGACTGTAGTCATTCACATTTCCTGAAATTACACATTGGTAGATTCACAGGAGCATTTAACTTTCGTAAAAATGGGGGACGATCCAGTATGCTATAAAATATGTAGAATAACATGTTCTGTTAATAGAAACAGGATGTTTGTCTGATATTTCATGAACACTAGATTTATATAAGAAAGTAGTAATTAGGTGATGGGTTCACTAATTTTTATTTGGTAACTCCCAATATGTCTAATCCATATCTTTCACTCATATACTTAAGAATCTAAAACTCGTGTATATGTACCTGTCTGTTGCACATATACTCAGCTGTCCAAAAGCAAACCTGTCCTGTTTCCCTTAAATTGCACTTGTCTCCTGAGAAGTGGTTCTAGAAGTGGTTCTTTAACTCCTTTTATTGCTGATCAGTCAGCAGACCTCTTCCACCATCTGATATCCCTTTCTTTGTTCTCTTTGTCCACATTTATTGCTTTATTATAGGCACCTGGCATCTCTTGCCTTGGCTAGGTTATTCACCACCTAAGTAGCTAACTAACCAGTCCCAAGTCCCTGTGATCTTTTCTTCACGCCGCTAATAGTGAGTTTTCAGGAATGCATATTTGATTTTGGCACACTCTGGCTTGAAACCATTTCATGGATACAGTATAACCTCTTAATATAGTATATAGAACTTGTGGTCCTGTGACTTCAGTTTACTTCTTTAGCTTCATTTCTTAGTAACCTCTTACAATACGTATTCATTTTACACTTTTCTCTCCCAAATGAGTCTTGATTGTCTATATTATATCTCCTTGCATCTACTATTCCAGACATTTGGAATGACCTTCTTTGTTTGAATGCCTTATTTTCCTTAAGATCCAATTTGTGTCCTACTCAGTGAGTTTTCCTTGACTGATTTCGTTCTGCTATGATGCCTTTTGTCTCCAGCTTAAGGAGATTTGACAATTCCTTCTGTCTGTCATTGAGATATTTAGTACAAATCTTATTTGTGAGTCTTCTTTCTTTCCCTTACTTTTTCTCTATTACTACATGCCTCTTTATCTGTACTAGCTGCGTTATATCTAGACATTAGCAAATATTGATTAAATTCTTTGTGTTGTTATTGCAGACTAATATGACAGCCACTGAAAAACTCAAAAAACCAAGTTTTGAGGAATAGTTGAAGAAATCAGAATCCTTGTACTCTCTGGGTGGAAATATAATGTGGTGGGAATGTAATATAGAAGTGTGGAGGATCCTCAACAACAAAAAATGTAGAATTGCCATATGATCCAGTGATCCCGCTTACATATATATATATACACATACACACACACACACAGATACATATATATATATATGTATATATCTCCAGAAAAAGACTACAGGATCTTGAAAAGATATTTGCACACCTGTGTGCTTTGCATTATTCATTTTACCTGAGAGATAGAAGCAATCTAAATATCCACTGATGGATAAATTGTATGAACAAACTATAATATATACAAAATGTTGTGGATGGGATATTTAGTCTTGAAAAAGAAGGAAATTCTGTAACAAGCTATAAAATGGATAAACATAGAGGGCATTATACAAAGTGAAATAAACCAGTTGCAAAAAGATAAATATTGTATAATTCTAATAAGAGGTATTTGTAATCAAACTCACTGAAATAGAGGATAGAAGAGAGATTGCCAGGAACTAGACCCAGGGGAAAAGTAAGGAGTTACTGAATGATACTGAGTTTCCATTTTGGAAAATAAAGTTCTAGATATTTGTTGCACAAAGATGTGAATAAATTTAACACTAATCAAATGCACGCTGAAAATTGGTTAAGATGGTTGCTTTTGTGTTACCTGTTTTTTATCACAATTTAAAAAATACCATCATTGTGTAATCCGGTGCATTAATTGCTACAGATCTGGCCACATTTAAGACATAGACCCTGCTTACTAAATTAAATTTAAAATTCATATTGCAGTCTAAGAAGCTCCTTTCCTTAGCAGACTTAGGAAGCATGTATTGAAGATAATTTAATATTTTGTTATATCACTGTATCATTATGTCACTGTAAAGATGGTATTTAGTAAATCCTTTAAAATTTGGGGGAAAATTTTTTGAGGTAAGCCTTACTATATAAAGATTCCAAATAAAATAGGCACGGCTGTTACTATTCATTCAGCACTATGCAGCAGGCTCTGTTTTAAGTACTTCACACGTGTTGTCCTATGTGGGTTTCAGAATAATCCTAAAAGGTGGGTCTTATTAACCACGCAGAAAGTTGAATGGCGTTCTTAAATAAATCAACCAGGCAGTAAATTTTGAAGATTCAAAACCAGGCAGATAGTAAAGAAGAAAATAGAATTTAGGGATAAAGCAGCAATTTCAAACCATCAGCCAGTCAAGGTTAAAATAGGCATACTTTTTTGTACATATCATTACTGGGAAAGTGGATCACTATCATCTTGCCTTACAGGAATTTTTCAACATCAAATTCTAGAAGTCTTCTAGAAGCTAGGTTTTATAAGGGGCATTGAAGAGTGTTAAGGACTGTGTCCTAGAATGAATTTTATAATTGATATTTTTATGATGGTGTTGATAAATTGCTGATGGTGTTGGAGGTCCCATACCAGTGCTTCTCAAAACAGACATTTTCCTTCCTATCAGAATCACCTGAGTGGCTAATTTTCAACTAAGACTTTTAACCTCTCCCTGATTTTTCCTTCCCTGTTAAAGTGTCAGCAGTTTATATAGAGGATATTGAAGAATATCATGGGCTGTGTTACTAGCAGGTATATGTCAGATTCCTCAGATATGTTACGATAGAAAATAAACTGTACTCATTTGGTTAGTGTCTTAGCCCATTTGGGCGGCTGCAACAATATATCAGAGACTGGGTGATTTATACAAAAACAGACCAAAGGAAATTTATTTCTTACATTTTTGGAATCTGGGATTTCCAAGATGAGAGCTCCAGGAAACTTGGTGTGTGGTGAGATTGCCTGCTTTCTGGATCATAGACAGTGCCTTCTCTAGGGTCTTCACAGAGCAGAGAATTTATAAGGATTTGGTAGTTGATTGGAGATTTGCTTGGTTGGAAAGAACTTCAGTTTTGGCTCTGAGAAAGCTAGAGAAAAGAGATTGAAGAGGGAGGAGAGTGATGAAGGTGATGCAAGTTTCTGTATTCAAGAAGAGGATAAGCTTTGAATAAAGAGGTTGATCTCATCCTGTGAGTTTGCAGGAAGTAAGATAAGGAGTGGTGCAATCATAAATAAGTCTGAGTTAAAGGGAAGCCTCAATATCTGGG